AATAACAGATGAAAGAACCTTAAAGGGAACCGAGAAGCTCAACACTGCAATATTTCAAAAGGATCCAACACCACAGCCAAACTTGATTTATCTTGTGATACCTGGTGTGCCAACATACACAAATAAAAAAAAGCATAATACATCAAATCAACAGAATGAAAGACAAAAACATGAACATCTTCATAGCTGCAGGAACAGCATTTGACAGGAGTCAACAACTCTTCATGATAAAAACTCCTGATGAATTAGGTGTAGAAAAAACGTATGCAAATACACTTGAGGCAATATATGAAAGCCCACAGTTAGCACACTGTACTCCGTGCTGAAAAGTTGGGAGGGAAGACCAGAAACAAGATAAGGATGACATGTCTTGTCACTTCTGGAAAACATAGCACTGTAAGTCCTAACCAGGGATACCAGGCAAGAAAAGAAAGGAAAACCCAGCCACATGTGACAGAAAGGAAAGGTTTCTTCTGTCAGATGACATGATCAAATGTATAGGACACTAAAGACTCGACCAAAAAATTGTTTAGAAGTAATAATGAATACAGTGAGATTGCTTGACACCAAAATCCACAGGGGAAAAAATCAGTTGTATCCTATATGCCAGCAAGAAAACAACACATTTCAACTCAAAAGAACAAAATACTCAGGAATAAATTTAACCAAGGAGCTAATGGATTCTCATACCCCAAACTGAAAAATGAATCAACAAATGTGGTACTCACGGGTACAATGGGATGTCATTTACCCCTGAAAAGGTAGATATTCCACGATAGAAACAGACAAACCTTGGGGGTATTATGCTAAAACTTCTTGCCAAAAGTCACTGTGTGAACATACTTTTCTGAGTGGGGACCAAGAGTGATAAAATACTCTGCCAAATTCTTAGAGAATATATAATAAAAATAAATGGTGCTTGGCTGGCAAGGAGAGGGTGATGAGCTGTTGTCTGATGGGCATACTGTCATTGCGATGGTTTTAAGGTGTGGGCATGGGATGCCCCTGAAATGTGCATGCAATGAAGTTAAGATGCTGTTTTGCATTTGTCTGTACTAATTATGGAGAAGAAAATAGTCTTCTTAATTGGTGAAATGGAGCAGTTCTCTGAGTCCAGACTCTTCGCTTACCAGCCAGATGACCTTGGACATAGCATCTGTAGGTATGTTATAAGCTGAATGAGAAAGGACACCTCACCATATTGTTTTAAGTTGTTGCCAGTGTGGCCACATATCATAATAGACTGTGTCAGTAAGGGATCCCGTGAGGCAAATATACCACTTTGTGTTCTAATGAAATGACTTCATTAGATCAATATGTGCAGCAGGCGGGCTGTGCCTACGTGTAATAAGCAATGGGTCTGGGTTGTTACTGTTCTGTCACTTCCTCATATAGGGCAACCTAAGTCCCTTGAGTCTCTGTGTAGAAACTCAAAGGAAATTGGATGCTTTGGCTTCCCGCTCTGCTCTGTAATAATTGGTTGGTTCAGTGTCTCTTGTATAGTCTGTTCTGTTTTTGTGCTCTCAGGTGCTCCCCGGGGGCCTGAAGGAAGTCATTAACAGCTTCAGTTTAATGACCCCAGATTATTTACACTTTCAGTTGTTTTAGTAAATTGTAGGACAAAAATGTGGTACTTTAACAAGCACAGGGAGGTGTAATATCAAAAGCTGGGGGAGTGTTTTTAAAACAGCAAAAACTGTGTACAGAACACTAGGAGTTAATTTGCTTCTAAGGACATTAGTCAGAATAGCTTAATAGAATTCTTGTTGTCTGAGCTGGGTGCAGCCACTAAGTCCTGCTACCACCGTGGCAACTAGGTATCATGTGTCTCTTGTGTCTCTGTCAGAGTTATCTTCTGTACAGTTGCAGCAAATTACTAGCAATTGAGATAATAGGAAGGGAAGTCTGAAGGGAAAAGAAAAAGAAATGGAGAAATGGAAGAGAGTGGAGAGAGTGAGTGGGAGACGGTAAAGGAGAGAATTAGTTTCTGAAACTACCCATGAGTCCATGTGGCTGATAGAGCAAGAGGGAAAAAGAGAAGACACAAAAAACACAGAATGAGCCTCCTGTCTATGGAATGCAGGGATTGACAAGAAACGATGGAGTTAGAAAGTGACCATTTGCAACCATCAGAGCAATTCAGGTAAGAATTAGATGTGAATGTTCAACTAACTAGGGGCTGAATGCCGCAGGACACATAGCTACCTCTTCAAATCATGCACTCACTGCAAAGAGGGTGCAGTTATTTTATATTTATAGTTGGCATTGCAATAATGAGTCCAACCTCCTGAGGAGATGCTCAGGAGAAAGTCACGCTTCCCTGGAAGTCTTGCTCCAGACACATCCCTTGAATTGAATCACGACAAAAATCAGACAATCCAAATAAATGATCTAGCTTAGGTATTCTCAAGCATACCTGGAATCCCAGCACTTGGGAACTTGAGGCAGGAAGGCCAGCCTGGGCATCAGAGTAAGAGAGAAAGAAAAGAAATTAAAACAGAAAAGAAAACAAAGCATCTCATGAAAGGCAAAGGACAGCGGAGGGAAGCCTCCAGACTAAAGGAGATGAAGAACTGCGTGCGCACTGTGCCAGTACTGAACTGCCTGACGCGGGAAGCCAGAGTCCAGCATCTATCCTTGGCCCACCCCTCAGCCTGTGTGCCACTCCATGCAGTCTCCATGCAATCTTCCCGACTCTTTGCCGCTCCTGGTTCATGTTACCACCACTGCTGCCAAAGCCTGGCCTCTAATCCACGTGCCGTCCTCATTTAAGATGATCCTACAAACAGCTCTGCTGTTACCTCCCTGTCAAAGACACCGTAGTGGCATTCTGTGATTTCAACTGAAAGTCAGCTTAACATGGCTCCTGAGCTCCTTCCTGACAAGGGCATTGTGACCACATCTTTCTACCCTTAATTGTTATGTGATTCATGTTTGGAATTTGCTCTGTTCCCTGCCTGAAACATTTTCCCTTTCCTTTTTATCTGTTTAATTCTCACCATTCTTCCTCCAGAGGTACAACTAGATATGTATGAACCAATGTCTGACTCCCCTGTAGTCATACTCCCATTCTTCATCAATTGTTGCTTATTCCGTGGCATTTGTGCCATCTGTAAACACAGGCATCATGCCTACCTTTGTACTGTAGCTAAAACAGTCACTCACAGGGTCCATATTGATCATATATGAATTCTGTACCCTTCCAAATTATCATTCATAAAACACACATTTCTTTTGCTTTGAGAAACATTTTTCTTAAGTGACTTATTCTAATTTTAAAATTAGAATATTCACAAATATATTCCCCTAAATATTAATGTACTTTTCTGTCCTTAAGACACATGAACATGCCACTAATTTGGATTCCACTAATTAAAAAACCTGTGCCTCACAGAGGAGGACATTGCAGCCAGTCCTGATGAGACCTGATAAACTAGGGTCAGATAGAAGGGGAGGAGGACCTCCCCTATCAGTGGACTTGGAGAGGGACAGAAAGGAGATGAGGGAGGGAGAGAGGGATTTAGAGGGAGGGAAGGTGGGATTGGGAGTGAATGAGGGAGGGAGCTATAGCTGGGATACAAAGTAAATAAACTGTAATTAATATAAAAATAAAAATTATAAAAAAACCCTGTGCCTATTACTTCCAAGTGAGATTATACCAACTTTGAGAAAAAGAATAGACCCAGTGAGACATGAATAAGGATTCAGTAACCTATCACTGAGAATAGTAACATTCTTACTAGCAAGGAAAGAAAACTCTTAAATTTGGGCTTATGAGTTACTTTACACCTTATTCTTTTGGTTATAATTCAATTTTACACAGAAAAATAATTGTCAGTTATGGTATTCTCTATTAAGACCACAAGTGATGAACTGCCTGTTTATATTGCCCTATCTTACTCTACTTTTATTTGAGTCTATATAAACTTAGAATGCTTTTTGATTTTCAACTTAGGAGAACACAGTCCAATCAAATGAAAACTTAAATAGAATACATGTGACATCTGTTCCTTACAGTTTCAACTAAGGGCTGAGTTTCACTTTAAACAGACCACCAAAGCCAGCTCCCATGAGTACCAATCAAAGGAGGATAGCTGTGTTGATCTCCCTCCACATATGGCTGTGGGTCTGCCCTTCTGAAGGTGTACTCCGATTTCCTCCACTAGAACATTCCCTCCAACTGCAAACCTTTTGTTGAAAAATAAGGGCAAACTCACCATTCCAGCCACAATATACCCAACACTGAAAATCTAAACGTACAGTCCTCTTCTGATCTATGGTGTCTTACCACCAACACTGCCTGCTGTCAGAGAACTGAGATGAGTTTTCCGGTGCCTGCTGGCATGGTGGCAGTCAGAGCACAGCTGTCTGATAAACACCTTTGGACCAATCAATGTCTCACTGACTTGCTTTCTTTTAATTTAGTGAAAGTTCTCACCTAGTCCTTTAAAGCTTGAATCTGATTTTTCATAAGTTCTAGATTTATCAGTCAGTCATTCAGGAGAGCCTGAAGATGCTTTTTACTACTTTCCTCATAATGGTATCATACCCATTTCCTAGAAAGCTATGAATTCTGGGTGCCAATAAAGACAGACTTTCCTCAAGAGAACCCTTTAGTTGCTGCCCAAAGCTGTTGATGAGGTATCATTTACTTCAGTAAGTTTACATAATCCATGCTGCTAAGCTGCCTCAGCATCAATCACTGCTCCAATCATCTGCTGCTAATGTGCCCAAGAGATAAACATCCCTCTACACCGGCTAGAGAAGACAGTTTTGATTGATTTAACAAAGGTTCCAGCTTATCCAGGAATTATGCAAGGCTCCATGGTTTCAAGGAACATCTGGAGAATACAAGCAATCCTGTGCTCCAAAGGAACGGCCTGGTCATGTCTCAGACCAAAGCATTTATGCCCAGAAGTCACAACCTCTTTGCAGACAAAGAGGTACTTGTGGGGAAATTTTAAATTGTTAACCAACAGGGTTGCAGGTTTATTCCTCACCTCTCATCACATTTAATCAGAATCACGCTGTCTGTTCCGATCCCTAAGGCTGCAGCTCCCTTCTTGAGAGAAAAGTGACTCTGTTAAGAAAACAAAAGCACATTTATGATTAGTTCTTTACAAAGACCAGATCTAATCTCCCTGCTAGCTTTTCTCCTTTACATTTTAATTAAAAAAATAATATATATATATATATGTGTGTGTGTGTGTGTGTGTGTGTGTGTGTGTGTGTGTGTGTATCTTGCCTGCATGTATGTTTGTGTACCATATGGGTGCTTGGTACCCACAAAGGCCAGAAGAGGACATTGGATCCCCAATGACTGGAGTTACAGACAATTGTGAGCGGCCATGAGGGTGCTGTGAATTCAAACCAAGGTCGTTGAGAAGAGCAGCCAGTGCACTTAACCACTAAGCCATCTCTCTAGCCTTCCTATTTATTATATGCTTCAAAATAAACATACTATTTAATTAATTCTTTGAGAATTTCATATGTGCATACAATATATTTTGATTATATTTGCCTCCACTCCTCCCCTTATCTCTTCTCAAATCTACTGCACATCCTTTTGCACTCTTTCCAACTTCATGTTATTGTAGTCGTCATCTTGTTTTCATTCTTTTTGCTGTTGTTCTTTTTCTTCTTCCTTTTCTTCTTCTTTTTTCTCCTCCTCCTTGTCCTCCTCATCCTCATCTTCTCTGTTCTCTTCGTCATCGTCCTCTTCCTTCTCTTCTCCTATTCCTCATCCTCCTCTTTCTTCTTCTCCTCCTCTTTCTTCTCTTCCTCTTCCCCCTCTTCCATTTCCTCCTCCTCCTCCTTGCATATAACCTGCTGAGTAGAGTTTGGTGGAGTCGCATGAAACCATACTCTTAAAGAAAAGTCACTTTCCCTTTCACAGCAGTCATCATTCTCAATAGAGCCTCACCTAGAGAAGGGGTTTCAGAGGCCCTCCACGTTCTATTATAGAATGTAGACTGGCTTTATGTTGTGCAGGTCTTGTACAGGCAAATGCAATTGCAGTGATCCTGTCGTGTCCAAAAGACACTATTTCCATCTGATCTTCCTTGACCTCTGGCTCTTATGACCCCATGATAGAGCCTTTTGGGAGTGGTGGGGTGTGATATAGATATACCATCTGTGGTTGAGCTCTCCATAGACATTTAATCTATATACTTTAACTACTTCTGAGTTTTTGTGTTAACCACTATTTCTTGAACAAAGAAAGACTTCTCTGGTGGGGTTTGAGAGCTAAAATACCCTATAGAAATAGGAAATTGGAGAGCAATCTGATACAGTGTCAAGTTAGCAAAATAATAACTAGTAGTAGGTTTTCCTCTGGAGCCGATGTACTCTTCAGCCATGGGGCCTTGGTCAGATGCCAGGCATGCATTTCCCTCTGTGGAGCATGCTTTCAAGCTGCTCCACAGAGGGAAATGCTGTATCACTCATGCCACTATTGCACTCATAGATCTCTCTTGCCAGATTGGTTGTTATTATAGTTTGAAGGGGGGAGAGTTGGGTAATCACTAGTTTTTTTTAAAATAGTGTGGTGAAACACATTATGGTATAACTTAAGTAGCATGTTAACCATATCTGAGAAACAGCCATTTCTGTGTTCACAGCTATTTTTATATTGTTGTGCAATAATTACCAAGATCTATTTCACAGAACTCTGTCACTGTGTAAAACCAAAACTCTTCACTAAACAGTAACTCCCCATTCTCTCTTTCCTCACCCCTAACAACCACCATCCTATTCTCTGTCTCTGCAAATTGAACTACTTCAGGCAGAACATTCACTATATTTTGTTTGTGTTGTCATCCTGCCATGGACATTCAGGTTCCGTCTACCTTTGGGATGTTGTGGATAGTTCTACTGGAAACACACATGTACAGACACTTCTTTAAGATGCTGCTTTCAGTTGTGTGAGGTAGATGCCTAGAAGCAGAATTACTGGACCATATGGTTAATACAACTTTAACTTAGAGAAACTGCCATACTACCCTCTACTGTGCCATCATTACACAGCTGCCAACAGCGCCCAAATGTTGCAGTTCCTCCACATTTTCACCACTATTCATGATTTCAGTTTGTTTTGGAGACAGGTTGATAGCCCACGCTATCACTGACTCTCCCTTTCAAGTAGTTCTACTGTGTCAGCTCTCTGAAATTGGCTTGTGTTTTTCTGGCTCTTGAGGACAATCTTCTAACGGATGTGATGGTAACACCTTGTAATTTTTTTTTTCTTCCTCTCAAACATAAGCCAGGCTAACTCTGGCCTGCTAGCTTTGGATTCTTCTCTCATGTTTACATCTTCCATCTCACAGGGGAGACATTTTGGGATTTCAGATATTGTGTGCAGCTGTTTTTTATGTGGGTTCTGGGGCTCAGAACTCGCTATGTTTTACCCACTGAGCTGTCCCCCAGCCCAGAACCAAATTTTCACACTCAGCAACTGCCTCCAGTATAATGCAGTGTATGACTCTCAGACTTAACAATTTGTTCTTCAAAGACTGCCTTCTTTCTTCTTTCCTTTCTTTCTTCCTTCTGATTTTTTTTTAAATCAGCATACAAAGTGATGAGTTATCACTATGGTGTTCTCATACATATATTTTTTCCTTGATCCATCTCTTCTAGTCCTCTCCCTTATCCTCTGTTCCTCCTTGGCTAGCTCTCTTCCCTCCTCCAGTAGTCCCTTCTGGTCTATTACCCGTCCTCCCCCCTCACACCACATCTTAAGAACTCTTTCTCCTCTGTGCTCCCCTGTAAAGCTTCAAAGAACCTACACTCAGTTTTTCACAAATGTAGTGACACTGTATGCATTCAAGAGAAAAGAAGTTGGCCCTAAGTCCAGCACTCTTTCTCTGGCGCTCTGGGAGGTTTAGTGTGTCTGGAGCTAGACAGGTGGGTCATGCTGACAGCCTGCTGCCCACTCTTTATGTTTTTGCTTCCGGGTCTTGATGGCTGTAATCACTATTGCATTTGGAAAGCTGAGAAAGACCAACCTAAGCCCAGCTGTACTGCATCTGCCCATCAGCCTCTTACTATTAACTACAGATCATTAAGCTGTCCAAAAGGAGAGCAGCTCCCTCAATTTACATCTCCGAAGGGCTGCTGAGTGGAATTTTAAATTAAGCTTCTAAAGAGGCGTGTCCTTCTCAAATGCCCAGGCTCCACTCATCTGAAATTTTAAGTATGCAGTGAATAAACTCTTAACTTGTAGATTTTTAGGGCAACTGTCTAATAAAATAGGAAATCACATATGTAACAGCAACAAATAATATCAACCAATAAAGGGGACACACGAAAGGAAAGAACTTTAAAACCTCAGCATGGCCAGAAGTAAAGAGAAAGGGCCGTTATCTTCAGTTTACAGCCTCAGAATGACAAAGCGGATATCCGTTACTAAGACACCTGGGAGCTAGGAGGAAAGGTTTCTCCCTCGGGCCAGAGATTTAAAAACGTGCTAACTGTCTCTCCTCCACCCACTGCACACACCACTGTATTTGTTTCTCCTTCGTATTTGGCAGAGACGAGGGAAACCAGAGCAGAAGTTCAGAGGGAAGAAGTGCTCAGTCTCTTATTGCCAGGAGTGCTCAGAGCAGAAAGTCCAGCTGTCTTGGATGAAAAAGCATGAATACCTCAAATTGTGCCCCTCAGTGAATGTGCTCTGAAGCTTCGATCTGCAGATTGGCAAATTGCTGCTGAATAAGAGATCTGCTGCATCTGCCCACAACAGGCGCAGTTCTGTCTGGTCTTTAATGAGAAAGAACTGGGATCTGTAATTGAGGAGTAATTACAAAGGATAATTGATTGCTGTAAAAGAGCTACACATTTAAGGAAATCCACATGCCCCAACAGAGAACTTAAATATGGGGAACAAAGGTGATATGAGGCATGAGAAAAGAAAATTAGGCACCGAACACTATTTATATTTAAGGAAGAGGAGCAAAGGCGTATAGCTAAGTGGTATCCACAAATAGTAAGGCCTGCATGGGGAGGAAGGAAACTGAGGGTCACAAAGACACTAAATGAGGAAGATACAGTGGAGATGAGTTGAATGGAATGCCTTTCTATGTGTGAGACAATATATGATGATCGTTTTTAATTCTTGGCCTCTTCTAATAGAACTGCTGTGGATAAACCAGAGGAGAGAAGTATCTAAAAACAAATCTTCCTGGATGCTGAGGATTCTGGTAAAAGAAGGTGTCCAGGGAGAATGCTTATCAAAAGCACAGTGACAGGTGGTCTTCATGTAGGAAAGGCTGTCCCAATACGAGGCTGGAAAGGATGCATTATTCCAAGTGGCTTCAGAAGACAAAATTATGAACAAATTTGGAAGCCTTAAGGACTAAGATTTGCCTCTTAATAATGAAGATTTGTAGAATACTCTATTGTCTCTCATTGGGCATATTCTTCTTCTCTCTCCTGATTTGGAAAATGTAATCAAACTTTGACAGAGCTCAGTACTTATTTAGGACTAAGTCATATTTCCATTCATGAGTAACAAATATTAAAACCCATTTGATTTTTATTTCAAACTAAACCAGAGTTACAGTTTGATGGAGAGTTTCATTTCTGTATTTTTAATATAGAAATGTTGAACACTGCTAGAGGAAAATGCTTCAGGACAAAGTTACAGGCAACAGTTTCTGAGCCATACTAGCACAGAAAGCAGGCCCCCAAACTGGCAAATGGGACTTCATGAAGTGAAAGCTTCTGCACAGCAGAAGAAACTATCAGCAGAATGAACTGACAGCCCGTAGGATGGAAGAAAACCCTGTCAGCAATGCTTCAGACAAGAGGTTGATGTCTAGATATAGAATAGCAAAAATTAGACACCTCAAAACTCCAACTGCCAAGCAACAAATGGGCTAATAATCTGAACAGTTATCAAAAAACCCACAAATAGCAAATAAGTATTTTTAAATGTTCATAACATCTCTAGCAATTACAAAAGTGCAAATGAAAACTAATTTGGGATTCTAACTTACCTCAGTTAGAATAACTACAGCCAAGAAAACAAATGACAACAAATACTGACAAGAATGTATGGAGAAGGAGGAACCCTTACACATTTCT